TCATTCTGCTGTCTGCTTTCATTGTTTCTGAACCGACATAAGCCACTGTTCTTATTGTTGTTCTGACTGTATTGTCTTTGAGTGTATTGTATTTTCTGGTTGCTTTTAAAATTTTTTACCTTTGGCGTTTACAATTAGATTTTTTTTTTAGGTATTGTTTTAAATGTATTAATTCTCTTTGAATTGTGCTGAACTTCTTGAGACTGTGGCATCTTGGATTGACTTCTGTAGATCTTTTATCGGGTTTGTGGATGATTTTGCCCATGTGTCCTTAAATATGTCTCTTTTCTCATTTATTCTACTTCTGTGATTCCTCACTATCTGATAGATCTTTCAAATTTCATCACTACTTGAGTGAACTGACCGTAGGTCACACTTTAAATTAGTTTCAAATTACTTATGATTTCAGTTGCGATTGTAGAAGTTTCTTTGTCCTCAAGACCAACTCTGAAATTCCAGAGCTTCCATCCATGGGTTTATCTCTGATCTTAACAGGATTTGAACTGGGCTGGATTTCAACTTTGGTTAGTTTTTGCTCTCCCTTGGTTTGAATTTCAGCAGTTCCCTGGAACCTAATCCCCTAACAAAATTTATAATATCTCACTAGGATTTCTTCAGCACCTCCCCACCATTTCTAATGGAGCAGAATTCTTGGAGGAGACAATAATTGTTGATTCGATGTATTTATTATTTTTGTTTTAGAGTTCTTCCCATGTCTTATAGCAGGCCAAGTTCCGAGGTTTGGCTAATTTCTCTTCATTCCCCCCAAAGCCTTTTAGCTATGACTGTTTTCTTCCTTTATCTCTGTGTTCTCAGATAGGGCAGTTAGCCATAGATACAAAAGTGGCCGCAGCCTTTTGCTCACCTTTCAAGCATTTGTCCTATATACAATTCAGACCATTTATTCTTTGTGTTCATTATGCTACATTGACCCCGCATTCGCAGCCGCGCAGTTCCGGGAGCTGGTTTTTATAGTCTCTGAGTCTTGGCCGTTGATGGGATTACACGGCGCCAGGGGGCCAGTTGGTGGGTGTGACACCCCCCCCCCCCCCCCGCCGACTGGAATTTGGAGAATCTGGGTGGAGGATGCTCGGCCCAAATCCCAGTAGGCTTGGAGATCTTGGCCCCGAAACCCGCATGACTTTGTCCCTCTGCCAGTACCTTCATGTGTGCGGAGAGTGGTCTCAGCATGGTGGTGGCTGGTCCTGGAGGTCTTTGGTTGCTGGAGCCTTGGTTGGGGCGGGGAGGAAAGCTCAACCCGCTCCCCTCCAAGGGGTCCCGGCGAGCGAGGACAGTCAGGCGCGGGGGCAGGAGACATCTTATTATGACATCTTATTATCTCATTCCTACTTTGGACAAACTGGCAGGCTACCGAATGTAGCCTGCCCACACGGCAGTCTGGCAAACTCCTCGTGGCACACCCAATATGCCAGTAACAATGATGGGTCTCATTCTCCTAAAGAGCCTTGAATATAATAATCTCAGGGCTAGGATGAAGGAGACGTTACTGGGGCCTGCTCGAGGCAATTGACGAATAACAGGATGATTTGTGATTTGTGATTTGTGACCCCAGAAAAAAGTACAAATAACTGGTTGGGCCCTCAAGAAATTAATTTTTCTCTTTCTACAGAGGCTTAGTATAGTTGAACTGAAAGCCTTACAGTTATAAACATATACAAAAAAGCTAATTATTTTGTATATAAAATTATTTTCAATTATTTTGTATACAAAAATTAATTATTTTCAAGTTTTCCTGTAAATTTGAAAATAGTGACAATCTTGATCTTTTCCATTATATCTGAGAGTGGAACTTCTGCCACATCACCTTAAAGCATATTAGAGTTAAGTTGTAAGTACAGGCTACTTTGAGAAGGGTTTATAAAAAGGGGCACCAGATTATATTGTGCACTTGTGTTGATAACTTTTGTAGTGATTCAGACCTTCTGTCACAATTGATGTGAAGTCATTATGAGTGTAACATCTGAGACTAGGAACCCAGATTTTGATTCACCATTGTGATCTTGGTATGCTACCAACACAATGTGATCATGTATTCATTAGATAAAGTATTTAAATTTAATAAATACTTTGGGGGAAAATGGCAGTAGACCAAGTGTATTTGTCTATTAAATATATTATTATATGTGTTGTGCAAAAAAATGTTTTGGCATATCACCTTTTTCCTGTTTGATTATGACTTTTTTTTTCTTACTTATTTCTATTTTTTGTCTATATGTGTTCTTTATTTCTACTGTTTTCTTTTTTACGCATAGCATGTGATGTAGCTTTTTGGTATATGTTTATAACTGTAAGGTTTTCAGTTCAACTATACTAAGCCTCTGTAGAAAGAGAAAAATTAATTTTTTGAGATTAAATTTGTGATCATGTCCACAGTGACAAGAACTACCACAACCCTTTATTAAGTTATTTTTATCTTTATAATAAATTGTCATTATAAAGTATCTTTTTTCAGTGAAGAATTGTTTGTTCCCAAAAGATATCTTTTATATAAAGCTATCTTAATTATATGTTCAGGGACTTATCAATTATGTATAACTTTAGAGTTTAGTCTGTTGGTTACAAGACTGGTTGTTTTTCTTTTCGAAACTTTGCAAAATTAGGTTTTGAATAGTTGTCTTTATGTTCAGTTTCCTGTGGTGGAATGTCACATATTATCAGTGCTTTTATATACATTTATTAAACATATATTCAGAATTAAACTGGCTTGAAATATTTATTTTTGGGATTTGAAAGGTGTCAGTATTAGAACAGAGATAGTTTTTTTGTTGTTGTTGATTATTTATTTCTTTATTGAATTTTCGTGGGATACAGTTACAAACTTGTTTATGATTGGATTTCAATCTCCAGTGTTCCAACACCCATCCCTTCATCAGTATACATTTCCCACCACTGATGTCCTCAGAAACCTTCTGCCCCCATCCCCACCTCCTCTGTCAGGCCTCTCCCTTCCTCTCCCCTCCTCTCTCCCCTTCCCTTTTTCCTCCTCTCCCCTCCCATCCCATCCCCTCTCTCCCTTGCCCCACCCCCCTTTTGGGCATTATGGTTTGCGATATAGGTACTGAGAAGTTATCACGTATATCCCTTTACCTACTTTCAGCACTCAGTCCTTGTCCAGAGTCATCATTCCCAACTATCATTTTTTTAAAATTTTTTTTATTTATTGAATCACCGTGAGAACAACCACAAAGCCTTTCAGTTTAAGTTTTGGTCAGTCATGAATGATCAAACACCCATCCCTTCACCAGTGCACATTTTCCACCGCCAGAAACCCCAGTATCCCCCACCTCCTACCCTTCCCCCTGCCTGTGTGACAGACTTCCACTTTATTCTCTCTCTACATTGATCACATTAAATATTATGACAAAAGACCCACCGTTATTATTTGGAATTTTCCCCAACAATCAGACCGTCAGACCTGCCAAAAAGACATCTTTAGATAATTTGTTTTCTATTGCTGGTTATGAAGAACATATGACCAACTATCATTTTCTTAGTGGTCCCTTTTCTCTCCTAACTATCTCCTTGTGTCCCCCACTTGTAGCAAGTTTTTAACTGTGCACCAACCTTCCTGGCCCTTGTTTCTACTATCCTTAGATGTTAGTCTCATGCTATTTTATTTTTTTATTATCCCACAAATGAGTACAATCGTTCTGTGTCTGTATCTCTCCTGGCTCATTTCACTGAGCATGATACTCTCCATGTCCATTCATTTTTTTTTAAATGAAACAGATTTTATTGGAGGGTTTTTGAAGTGTGGAGGGGGAGAGAGAGAGAATAACGTGCTCAAGGGAGAATGCGGGCTTCTCCAAGGGCGGTTAGAGTTCATATCCATCCACTTATTAACAAATTTTATGACTTCATTTTTCCTGGTGGTTTCATAGTATTCCATTGTATAGATGTACCACAGTTTCTTTTTCCACTGCTCTGTTTTCCAGCACTTGGGTTGTTTCCAGATTCTGGTTATTGTGAACAGTGAGATAGGTATTTTTAAGAGGCCTTTATAGAGACACCAATTTGATAAGTTAAAACTATCAACATTCTACAAAGGAACTTGGAAGTGTGGAAGGTACAATGGCTTCAGATGAGGAATTTTGCTGGGGTGCTCTGAGAAAACATACAGTACTGCGTTTAAATACTGTGGGCTTGAGTGCTAGACTGTCTCTATAAAGCCTTTTTCTGTATTCTCAACTTTATCATGTTGATTAATTTCTCTATCCTGACATTTCTTAATGTGGAAAGCATAGATAATAAGAAAAATATTTGGGGGCTTAAAGAGATAATACACTAGATAACGCATTTGTCTTGCATGCCACCGACATGGTTTGATCCCAGCTGAACACTTCCAGAAGTGGTCCTTTAGCATAGGACCAGGAGTCAGCTCTGAGTACCACTGGGTGTGGCCTAACCCCCACCCCCCATCCTCCCAAAAAGAATAAAATAACCCATTTATTGTAAATATTTAGTGAATTTTAACATATTTTTAAAGTATGTAAGCTTATTTCCAACACACAATAAATGTGATTTGCTTCTATTAATATTTAATAGTTATATACTTATATACAATAGATGCGATTTGCTTCTATTGATAATAATTGCTAATATTTATGTACTTATTTGGTCAGACCTTCCAAGCCAAAGGCCCAGGGACCATTTCCAGTGACACTCAGACACCAGGCGAGGCTGCCTGGTGCTTGCGCCCAGAGTTGCAGTACTGGGCCTCCAAGGTCCACACCTAATGCTATTTGGGGGCCTTCAGGAATATACATGTTATTGCTTAGTGTGCTGTAGTGGGGGGAAATGGTACTGGGTCAAATTGATGACCTTGCTCTTGCTTAATACATACCCTTGAACTATGAACTACCTCCCTGCCCCGTGTTATTTATATTATTATTATTATTATTACAGGTTCATTGTACCTTGTTTATTTGAAAAATAGTTTTGGCACCTTCTGTGACTGACTCTTGACACTTCTTTTTCAGCTCAACTGAAATTGATGACATGATTCGTAAATCTACAAACCTGTTGCTAACCAGGACTCTGAGCAACTCTCTACAGAATGTCATTAAAAGGAAAAATGTTGGACTTACAGAGGTAAAGCTGTTTTTAGTGGCAGCAGCCAAGTCAGTATGTAGATACGTCCCGAGGCACTGGACCTTGCTTGTGAATTAACGATAATGTTCTGCCAGTCTGCCATGTTCTTCCGGATGGGCTTCTAATGGGGAAAGTGCACAATGAAATGTCTTGGTTTTCCTTTGGTCACCAAAGTACTTGTAGTCACTTTTTCATTGTTTTTATTAGCTTCATTACTTATTCTCTTTTTACCTCCTTTTCTTGTGTTGCGGAAATAAGTTTGTATAGCTTGCCATTTTGAGGGATGGGGATTATATCAGTTTCAAATTCCTACCTAACTGAATACTAGTTCAACTACAACATACAGTATGAAATCACATTTTGTCAGCATACATCATGGGTGCAAGGATACCAGTATTCATAGTCATTGGTTAGTGTTAGGTTCCACTTTTGTTTTTGTAACTCTTTTATATTTGTGGTTCTTTACCACTAAGTCTGGGAATTTGGGGTTGAGAAAATATGAGAGAACGGTAATATATCACATCTCAGGAAGCTTATGCAATCTCACAAAAAAGAGGAAGGGCATTGTGCTTATCTTTAAAAAAAGTATTTAAACACTGTGGCTTACAGAGTTATTCATAATATAGTTATATAGGCATTCAATGTTCCAACACCAATCCCATCACCATTGTCCCCATTTTCCCATCTACTTCCAAAGTCTGTCTCTTTAGCAGGCACAAAATATTTTGTATTGCTTTGTACAACTAAGTGACTAATGGGATTATCAGAAAGTACTTCAGTAAAAGAAAATCTTTGAAAATTGTTCTCTCTCACCATGGGGACTTTAAGCTCTTATCTGAGAGTTTATTAAGCTGTTGTTGCTAGTTGAACTTTCCCTGTTATTATTTTTGTTTGTTAAGCGTAGTTGGTTTCTACGTTACTTTTCCATCAGTTTGGCGTGCTCCTACTGGGATGTCAGTGTTGTGGAATTTGAGGGCACATATTCCAAGAACATTTAGGGTCTGTGAAGCTGGGCCTGTGAGTCTACATGATAGTGGCTGTGGGATGTGAATGTGGCTTCTAGGGCTTCAGGAAGTATAGAGTGGGTGAGGAGAGGCTGCCTGCTCCCACTCTGAGGAGACCCCATAGTTCTCAGGCTGAAAACCCAGCAGACCTGGAATTTTTGTCAGCTTGGTGTCTCTCTGCAGAAGTGAGTTTTGAAGCAGGGGAGTTTGGCCACTGGCATGGCAACTGCTGGAGGGTATGGGTGCAGCTGACAGGGCTACTGAGGGTGCCCCAAAGTTTTCACCTGGGAAACTAGTGCACCCATACATTTTAGTGGATTGGCTTTCATAGCCCTGGAGATTTAGTTGTGACTCTCCACTGTGGAGATCTTGAGAACAGTATCTTGACCAGTGAAAGATTTGATCCATTGGCATGATGTTCTAAAATGTAGAGAGATGGAAGTTTCCTTTCTCTTATAAGCCCAGAATTACGTGCGAGTCTTAGCCTTACTTTTTTTTTTTAAATTATACTGCCAAAAGTGAGAGCTTAGAGGAATTTTTTCACAGGGAAAGAAAAAGGCTGGTGACCATCTGTTTTACCTATAGAGCTGGTGTAGTTTGAAAGTCAGTTACTCAAGGAAAATTTAACATTTTTAGATATACACTGTCAAGGATTATGGTGAAATTTAGCAAATGGTTAATGATACTGACCCATAGTTAAAGACAGCTGGACACCAGATGAACATATATTGCTGATCTTGGAGTAATTTTCTCTTTGTCTGCATTAAAATTTTAAAATACTATATTATAATGTATGCCATTGGCAGTAATTGAGTTCTTATAAGAACTTTCTTTTTAAAATTGAAAATAGCGTCTCACGTTATTAAGGACAGACCTCTTCATTTTGCAAAGCTTTCTACTTCCTGGCATAGAAATATTAGGAATTACCTTTATGTGCTTTGGAATAAGCTAACTGCTTACTTCTTTTCATAGTCATGAAAGCTGAGACAGAGACAGAAACAGAAGAGAGAGAGAGAGAGAGAGAGAGAGAGAGAGAGAGAGAGAGAAATTGCCTGCCATAGAGTGCCATAGAGGCAGGCTGTGGATGGTGGTGATGGGAGGGAAACCGTTGCTGGGAAACACACTGGTGGAGGGGTGGAGGGGTGGGTGTTGGAACACTGTATGACTGAAACCTAATCATGAACAGCCTTGTAAGGGTCTATCTTACAGTGATTCAATAATAAAATCTTTAAAAAAAAGATTTTTAAAAAGTATTATGGAGCCAGAGAAAATGTTCCTTGTGATGGAATATATGCTTGGCATGTCCAAATCCCTGCAATCCATCCCTGTCACCTTTTGGCCCTAGGAGCAATGTCAGCTATTATCCTGGTGCTCCCCGGGCACCGCTGGACCTGGGCACCAAGCTCTCAGTTCTACATTAGCAGACTCAGCATCACCAAGAGTAGCCCCTATAAAACATTTGATGCAATTTACCCAACAGATGAGCCACGGGGACAGCCTCATGAGCATCAGTAATTACTGTGGCTGCTAATATAATGATGGTGATGATTAGGAAGATCAATAGGCTTCGCTATTCTGCAGAAACTTGTCTATTTTTGAAATTAAAGGAAAATTGACAGTATTTTTTTCCTCTAACAAATTGACAGTATTTTAGAAGAACTCATTTACTATTTGTATTTTGCATCCACTGTTTTGCCTGTGGGACTTCCTGTCAAGCAGACTATGTTTCTTTTACTGTAGTAAATTTCAGTATTCTATTCTCACAGCTCCATCTCCTTTAAAAAAAGAAACATTCCAGACCTAGCAGGTAACCAATACAAGAATACAAAACAGTCACCAGTCCAGAAAGCCATACTAGCACTGTCAAAGAGACCTTCCCCTGACCCTTTTTCTTGGTGATTTACTTTATGAATAAATTGCTTGTCTTTAAAAATTCAATAAAATAAAATAAAATAAAAAAAGATAGTTGGAGTGAAAATTAGGAAGACCTCCAGTTTTTGTTAGATTGTACTATTACCCATCCGTCTCTGAATCTCAGAGAGGGCAGTCAGTTCATTATTTAGTCTGTGAAATATCTCTATAGTATAACTGGATATATATTATTCAGTTCAGCAACTTCTGAAAAAGTCATATTAAGTAAAAAAAAAACAAAACAGGAACATCTAGTAGGAACAACATTGGTTTCAGAATACTCTTGAGTTTAGTTGTGGCTGTGCCACTTATTTCCTGTGACATCTTCAGAAAGGACCTTGGTTTGAGGACTTCACTGCCCTCTTCAAGGGCATCTGCCAATCAGTGAAAGATAGAGGCAATAAGAACTTATCCAAAGGATGACTACATCTTTATTCTCGGCTCATTTTCAATGAATGTTAAATATTATTCCTAAGTCATTGCATTCTTTTAGACAAATGTACTTTTGTTATCAGTATTTTTGCATATGAGTGAAGAAACCATCCATACACTTCTTGTTTATTGTGGTTATTCTGGTGCTGTGTGCGTAGATAGATGCGCACACCCCGAGTGATTCTTTTTTTCTTTCATTGTCAATCTTTGAATAATTGTATTACTCACTTGTGAAAAGAGATGATATAATTTCTTTACCATGATAACTAAAGTGAGTTCACATCAAGAATCATCATCATAATAGGCAGTGTTTGTGGAACAACTCAAATTCCAATTACAAAGACCATCTCATTTAGTACAATAATATTTGAAGCAGACTGGGCATGTGTTATTACTCCCATTTTATAGAGGCATAATTAAAGTTCAGAGAGATTGCCCAAGGTTATACAGCTAGCAAAATGATAGAATGGTATGTCAGTCTAGGTTGCTTTTCCCACGGTTCATCACTTTTACGCTAATGCACTGCCCTCCACATCAATTTAATTATTTCATCATAACAAAGTGTTGTAAACAGGTAGTTCCAAGTAGCATAGAAATTCTTCTAGTTAGAGGTAGTTTTGTGAGAGGCAGCTGACAAACACTCAAAGAATAGGAGTAGTATAAGCACACAAATGTCACAGGAAACAATTTCAGTGTATCAGACCATTCTTGTAGGCCTTAAGTTCTTATGAACTAATGTTTGTCTGCCTATCTTATTTTGAGGTTACATGGTATCTAATCTCACCTTCTGTTTGTGTGCTCTATTCTCTATTTTTCTCTCTTTACACCGGCTTTCTTGCCTTTCTTTCTTTCTTTCTTTCTTTCTTTCTTCCCTTTTCCTTTCTTTTCTTTTTTTTTCACTTCTTTTCATTTCTTTTCTTTTCTTTCCCAGATTGAGCCAGTTCAGTACCTTTCAGTTGTAGGACATACTGGAGCTTGAGTAGTGCCTTATTTAGGCAGGAAGACTATCACTGATTCAATCGTTATATACAAGTGTTTCCCTCACACTATTTCATCCACATGTATGGGAAGAAGGGCAATTGTGTCGAGTGTTTATTCTATTTAAGTAACCATTTAAAAAAATGGGGGGAGGGCACACACTGCAGGTTTCAGAGGCTATTCCTGACTCTGCTCAGAAGTGATCCCTAAAAGTGCCCAGGGGATCATCTATGGCACCAGGTCAAACAGAAGTTAGCCATCTGCAATGAAAGTGCCCTAACCCCTGTACTATCAGTCTAGCTCCCAAGACTGTTTATTCTAAAGCAAACTGTCTGGGTTCCAGTAGTCCCTTTTCCTATAATAATTGTGTTCCTTGGCAAATGTACTTGACATTCTGTGTAAAATGGGAATAATAATAACATCTATTTCTTAGGATTGTGAGGATTCACTGAAGAGGAAAATATTTTTTTTTTTGCATTTTTTTTCTTTTTTTTTTCCCTTTATTTTATTTTATTTTTTTAAAGTTGTAGATTTACAATTTTTTGTGCTTTGGTTTCAATTATACAATGATCAGATACCCATCCCTCCACCAGTGCCCATTTTCCACCACCATGGATAATATCCCTCCCACCCCCATCCCCCCATCCCCCCTGTCTCTGTGGCAGGGCAATCCCC